CCAAATGTTCACGCAAAGAAAGAAGGCGACGAAGTCCTTTCGTAACATCCAGAAAATGATTAATCTGCTGAAGAGAATAAGGTTTAATCTTACCTCCAGAGGCAGGTTCTGAGTCCATCCCATCATTTCCCATTAACTCAATGTCCTCGTAGTCATTGTCAGATTCCTCCATTTGCCCCTTTAAATCTGACAGATCCTGAGATGAAATATCATCTGGCGTGATGGAATCATCAGTTAAAGTGTTTTTGTTTTCATCAGTTTGTTGGAGCGAATCGGCAGACGCGAGCTGCGAGCGCTCCAGGCTCGTCTCCGTGTGCGGGACAGCGGGCGCCTGACTCGGCCCGGCCGCCTCCTCCACAGCCGCTACAGGGCCGCGTTCAGAGGACGCCGACAACGGGTTCTCCGCGGACGGATCATCCGGCACGGAAGGCGCCCCGGCCGGCTGCAGTTGTGACGCTACAGCGGCCGCAGCAGGATCCGCGCCGGCCGCCTCTGCGCTGTTCTCCGCCTCAGCAAGCGGAGCCGTATCCGCGCTCGCCGCCGGCCTATCGCGATTCGGGCAAGTTTGCCTGATGTGTCCAAAATTTCCACAAACGAAACATCTCATTGAATCTGAACTAATAAAAATGGTGTAGTCTTTGCCATCGATACTTAGTTTCACTGACAAGTTTAAAGGATCACTCTGAGAGTTCAGTATCATAAAGGTTTGACGGCGAAAAGACATTACATGTTTAATTTCTGGATTTCTGCAACCGAGAGGAATCATTTTAATAGGGCTAGCTACTTTACCATACCTCTGGAGGATTGGTTCTAGCTTTTCATTTTTTATGAACGGGGGTACATTGGATAAAACAACTTTTTTGGATGGGCTTGACAGAGGCAAAACAGGTACAAACGTGTCATTAATAACCAAGCCAGACTCAATTAAATCATCCACCATTTGGCTTTCGCTGAGAAAAATTACAATGGCCTTATTCATACGGGAGGCAGATCTAATGTTAGCACCCCCGACCGCCGCGCTCACGGCGATCAGACAGTCCTCTACCAACACCGCCGCATCAGGCATACATTTACACCCGTGCTTGAGTGTTAACCGCGAGAAATCTCCCGCATCCAACGCCATTATCACCACTCACTGACCGAAGTCAGTGGGACAATTTTCCCCTACACCTATATACTGTGATTCAACCAAAAAAATAAAATAATACAAAAACTGATTAAAGGAGAAAAGGATAGGAAAGTCTCACTCACACCAACCGGCTCCGTCCACTCGCTCCCAGCATGCACTCCAACTCAGAGAGCGACAGAGAGAGAGAGAGCGAGAGAGGGAGGGAGAGAGAGGGAGAGGGGGAGAGAGAGATTGTTTTGTTTATGTATTATATAATTGTTTATTCCTTATTCATGTAGCGGTGTTCGGCCAATCACAATGCACTGGGTCAGCTGGCCAATCAGAGCAGACTGCGCTTGTCGGAAGGAGGGACTTTGTAGAAAACGAAGCGTTTGAGAGAGGCGGGGCATAGAGGACCTACAATAATGTACAGTATTTGAAAAATAATGTGTTTTTTGAACATTAAAGCATGTCAACATATTCTGTTACACCAAATACACAAAATAATGATCTTTAAAAAAAGCATCATATGACCCCTTTAATATTAAGTAAGATTATTGCTTTGACTACACTGACACAAAACTTTAACTGACTTGATCTAAATAATGAAACTACTGTCTTCAATTGAGCTGCTTATCACTGAATTGAACTTAATTATCAATGATACAATATATAATTGAACACAAGTGATGAACTTTACACAATTATCGAACTGAACTTAATCGACATTGAACTTTACTTGAGCTGAATAACAACACCATCTTGATAAAGCTGCACAATTTGTATTTGCCTCATATTTGACGAAGTTTACATCATTAATTTGGTTACTGTCCTGTTTAATACTGTGAAGCTGTGTTTAAACAATCTCTATTGTAAAGCACTATATAAATAAACTTGGCTTTAAGAACTGTCAATTTTTGCCAAGATCAGGTTCAATGGAGTAACGCAAACGTCTTCAAAGTCTCTCCAGATGACATATCCTTGCTAAACTGCTATGTCAGCATAAATCTGCTCTTTAATAAACTGTGAACCCATAGAGCCTCTGCACTGACAATGTAATAGTGAAAACCTGGTTTCCTTTATCTCACCATTGAAGCTTGAAGAAATTAGATTCTCACACTTGGTTTCACAAACATCAGTTGTATTAAAATCACATAATATCTCAACGGCTCCTGGCAGACTGTTTAATAAGAGCTCATGCACTAGTGTTATGATTTCTGTAATGAGAGTGACGATCCTAATCTGACCCTGTCTGTGAACCCTTCCAAAGGCAGGAAAGGCTGAGGCCAATTAGGGTGGGATCGTTTACAGGGGATGACACCCTCCGAACAAGAAAATGAGAAAACATGCCCCAATTACCAGCCGGTGATGTCATCACTCGCGGTCAGACAAGCTTGATTCCTACATGATGTGACGGATGCGCTGAGAGCCCCGGTGCTTCTGTGAGAAACATGCAGAGCAAGTTTATGACAGGGAGGAGGCATAAGCTTCATGACACAACACTCATTCACTGGCTCTGACCGATGATTTCCACATTGCACATTTCATATTTAGATATGGAAAAAGTATTTCCCTTTATTCATTAGCACATCAGTGTAGCTGAATTGTATTTTCTCCATAGAGGGATTTAGCAAAGGAAGAGAGAGTGAAGGTTGAGCCAAAGGCACACTAGACTCCGTCTCCCCCTGAGGTATGCTTATTTGATTAGAGTCACACTGGGATGAAGACTTTAAGAGATAGTTTCTCATGTTTGGCTTTGCCCATACATACTCTCCTGAAACAGGCCTAATGTATCTTCAGGGGCAGATAACCTAGATGAAATTTCACATTTAAAAGCAAAGCGTGTGTCCTTGCTTTTAGATACCTTTCTATTGATTTGCTCTGCTATGTGAACAGCATGTATCTAAGATGGGCTGCCATCTGCGGGTTTAGAGGATGTTTGTATTCAAGGGTGAAACCCACAGAACCCAACCTCACCTGTTGATCTATGCAATGTGATGTTACATAACCCCCTGGTATTGTTTTGTCAATAGCAATGGATATGTCAATAGCTAATTCTGCCATGTTATTGTTTGTTTTGTTTGGACCCATTTTATGGGTCTTAGAAATTATATTGAATGTTCCATTCATGAAGAAAATTAGGTGATTGAGCAGGCCCATGGGAGCACTTTTGCAACCGACTGAATTTAACTGCAGAACTTGGGTGCTTAGCGCTTTCAGTGTTGGAGGAAAACATAAACTGAGTGTGATTGCTCAATAACAGCTGCCAGTGTCACCATTTGAGGATGAACTTCTAATTTTGTAATTTCTGCAGAACCTTCATTGCTGTGTTACCATGAGAACAATAATAATGCAGAAGCTGTAACTGTTTCAGTCCTGGAGACCATTAATGTAATGAGACACAATGAGAATAGTAAAAAACAAGCAAACTGAAGTAGAGAGCTTGTATTATGCAGTTCTGTGTTCGAAATCCATTTGTATAAATTGTACTTTAGTTCGGAGCAGATGCACTTAACTGGTCATTCCATAAAATCGGTGCCTCTTCTATTGTGAATATGTGTTGTTGTTGTTTTTAGAGTTCTGAATGTTCTATCAGACAAAGAATGTCTTTAAATGTTAATAAACTGCATTGTGCCATTTTCTGCTAAATTAAAGTTGGGATATAGCCATGCCTTAAAAAAAAATAACAAGGTTAACAATTTTACAGTTAATTTAGTTATTGCTTGCTATGTGCTAAAGATAATGAGTGTTTATTAGAAAGACAGTTTAATGTTGATATTTCTACCAATATCCAGTTTTCAGTTATCAGTCATTTGCTATCATGGTAGCATAGTGGATATTTTAAGATCGCCACCTACTGACAAAATGAAAATATAAGATAAAATTATCAATAGAGAAGCCACTTTTCCTTGAAGAGTTTATATCAGGGTTCCTCAAATCTTGCCCTGGAGGGCCAATGCGCTGCAGAGTTTAGCTCCAACCCTGATCAAACTCACCTACCTGTGATTTTCTAATGATCCTGAAGACATTGATTAGCATGCTCAGGTGTGTTCGATTAGGGTTAGAGCTAAACTCTGCAGGAAAGTGGATCTCGTGGGCCAGATTTGAGGATCCCTGGTTTATATGCTGAAAAGATGTACAATTTTTCTTTAGAGAGAGAGAGAGAGAGAGAGAGAGAGAGAGAGCGAGAGATAGAGATTAAATAAATAAATAAATAAATAAGTAAATTAAAAGAAACTCCTGCATTCAAAATGGGTTTATGACAACACACAGTAAAAGTTAATGTCAGCTTTTCATTGTTTACACGTTCACAAAGGACATAGAAGGCACTGATAATAACGCCTGCTTTGCCCACCCTCAGCTCACTATCAAATACAGTAATGCAGTGGCCCCTATGGGTTACCTTGTGCACAACAATTTTGCATATTTCTCTGGTTTCAGTTTACAATTACTATTAAAGTGTTGCTAAAATCCGCTGTTAGTGACTTGTCTCGATTCAATGACTTCTTTCTATTTACGAACGAAAACGCTGAGAAGAGTAGCAAAATATTTCCTAAGGTCCAGAGGGACTGTCCTGTTGCACGTTTCATAAAATCGTTCATGATTTGAGAAGCAACGAGACTTGAGCTCGATTCAGTGCAGAATCAAGCGCTGTCCGCGGTGCTGAACTCCGGATCCGGCGCTGTCCGCGGTGCTGAACTCACTGAGGCGACCTATTGAAGATGAAACGCTCCTCTGTTCTCATTCCTCTCCGCACTCAACTTAGTAGCGCTGTCTCAGACGATGCTGTTCTGTCTGCTCTGGCGGCGCGAGCATCTCCAATGTAGATAAACTTACTTTCGCAGTGGGGAAACGTAATGATATCGAATCTATTCTCGTTTATTAACTTGACATCAAAATGTTTTCTCGGCGGAGGTGCCGAAGACCAAATGGCGTTATACTGTTTCACCTGCAGTATTTGGGAGTTGATTTAAATGCCGCGGATGACTAGATGATCACGAGAAGGAAGTGCTTTTGTACAGATGTTTTGGATCTTTTTTCCTTCTTTTTTCATTTTCTGAGAGGTCACTTAATGATCGGGGAAGGATAATTGCGTTTCTGGATATGTCATTTCTGAAGTGGGCATGATCAGATTTAATTTGTAAATATTATAGACATCGGATTATCTGTTCTGTTGGAGTAAGCGATTTTTTGCACCAACTCGAATTGGAATGATTTTTGTGGTCTTATCATCACGAAGGTGCACTTGCTCGCTTGATTACGATTCCAACAAAGTGGAACCAGACATTTCAACGCGGTAAGTCGAGTCCAGCCACTTGGTTAAAATGTATTCGTGTTCATTGCAATACTTCAATGCAATAATAATTATGTTCACGATAATATTAATTACTAAAATGCATTTTTCTCTACATTCAAGGCAGGCAGTCTCTGCACAGATGCATTCAGCATGCCAGAGGCAGTCATTTTATTATAGACTAGACGTATTGTCAATATTAGACTTGCTTTCAGTGTAAAAAAGAAACTCTTTCTTTGAAGTGCTTTCCTCTGCTTTTCTAAGTGCAGAATCTCACACTACCGTGCCGTTTTATGGTTAATTTCTCGTGCTTTTACGAGTGAAGAGGCATTTGGACCGAAGGCCATTACGCACTCGTTAATGACACAGAAACCGTGTCTTTTCTTCAGGGCTCTTGGAGTAGATGAAATTCAGAGGGTAGAAATGTACGGACATAGTCAATGCACACCTATCTGCAGTGCTATGAGGGATTAGAAGCTGGAGAGCTACCTGTTGTCCCTGGGAAATAGATATCCTGGCTAACTTTGTTGAGCACTGTCTATGATGCCTGTGATTATCTGGGTTTTAGTTTTTGTAGATTTACCTACTTTGTTCTTCGGGGATTGTTTTCTCGTACACACGCTTTTCTTTTGAAGTAATATCTTCACCCCCTCCTGATACAGAGCTTACTAATACCAGAGCCAACACATAATGTAGGAGGAAAGCACACCTCGTTTATATGAGCTGACTCTTCATCAATCTATGGGTATCTTCGGTGCATTCTGTATGGGAACAAATGGCAGATCTTTACCGGAGATTAACCAGTATGGGAGACCGGGGAGTGCTGTAACTTTGGGTGAGTTGTAACACCATCAGTTTAACCAATTAGAAATGAGCTACATGAATGAAATCACTAACATACATGATCACCATCCTCACGAGAAGGCAGTAGAAGTTTTATACAAGAAAAAAAAAATTAAGAAAGCAAAATGTCAGGTTTACAAACTGATTTGCAAATTTGTGATCCCCTGAACCAGCTCATTCAGATTATTTAATCTAATATACAACATGTCTATTTTGCTATCTACATGTTTACATCGCGACTGACCGGATGCGGAGGGATGGGAGAAGGATATACAGCGATTTTTTTTTAATGCTAGAATTTAATTAAAAATCATCTCCATGTTTAACATTTGCAATATAAAATTAAATTATTACTGAATTAAAGTAAATTTGAGTACCACAACAAATTCATACACAACATTTAAAACTCACACCTCAAAGGTAGGTAATGGCACTTTATGTACTTGACACTTATTTATACAGTTTACTGAAGGTTTGTCATATATTTCTAAACTGCTAAAGAAAAGACATACATTGTTACAACACTCCCCATTCATCCCTGTACATGGTTACTTTTTTTCAGCAAACTGTACTTTGATCATTAACTTATAGTGTGACGATCTTTTTATCGGTTAACATAAAGAAAATGCATGCCCAGTTATCAAGCTACGGGTTGTTTACATTTCTTTCAGTGTCATATTTGCAGCATGGAGACTTACAACTTAAGGGACCTGAGACACTCTCCTTGAATGCGTCAGACTGCCGCGGCGAAGGATGGGCCCTTTTCTCCCGGCGATTTGCGTCGTGCTGCTCGCCCTGAACGCCGCTGTCTCGCCGGCCTCTGTCGGCCCTGAGGACTATCCCGCCACGGACGAGGCCGAGAGAACTGCCAACAATGACATCATTTTCGATGACTACCGAGGGAAAGGCTGCGTGGATGACAGTGGCTTCGTGTACAAGCTCGGGGAACGCTTCTTCCCGGGCCACTCGAACTGCCCGTGCATGTGCACGGAGGACGGTCCTGTCTGTGACCAACCCGAGTGCCCTAAAATACACCCCAAGTGCACCAAGGTGGAACACAACGGCTGTTGCCCCGAATGCAAGGAGGTCAAAAACTTCTGTGAATATAGAGGGAAGACTTATAAAATCCTGGAGGAGTTCAAGGTAGGATCACGCTGTCTCCCAATTACCAGAATAATTATTCTATGCACGAATATGGGGCTATTGTATGAATTTAGCATTGCATCGTGTATCCCACACGCCTGTGGTTAATTATTAGGTGAGTCTTGCACTCCAGCTGAAACCTCAACCATGTAGGCTACAGTGGAGAATCACATGGATATACAATGTCTAAAGGGAGTAAGCCTTCCATTATTTTCAAATTGTGGGTGGATTGTACTTTACACTGTTTGAATTTAATAATCATGCCTGCAAGTTTCACAAATCTGCCTCAAGACAGCATACATGACAATATATTTCAAATTCTGGCATCATATGTCAAAATCAGACATTCAAGACCACATATACACTATCACACCACTATGTCCTTAAATATATGCATTTGCGAGGGTGGGTCCGTGCATGAGTGCAGTATGGGATATTGTGGGATAGTTTTATGCTTGTTTTACTCTTAGAGGCTCATCATGATAAGCCCTATCCATCACTATCAACTGTAATTTGATTAGAGCTGTGCCACAGAAACATTCCACTTGACAAAGCAATCCATTTAAAACTAGTGTGCATTTTCTCTTGATTTTAGATTCAAGTTATTTATATTGATCGGAAGAAGAAAGCAAACCCATCAATCATACAACAAAGCACTGAAGCATTCTTAAAAAGACCCATCAGCCATAGGTAGATACATGAATGTTGTGCTGCATGATGAACCATTCAGCCAATTTGAGATTCATAAGACGTAGAACTGACAAATAAATCATGCATTTGGTATTTCATGACCGCTTTATCAGGCCTAACATGTTGTAAGCTCTTTGGTGTCATGCCTCATATCAGCAGAGCACATATTTAACAGAAGTAGTCCAATAAGCAGTTGCAAGTACTAGATATTTATCTAATAATATGTAGTGTATATGAAACATAACTAACATCAGCAGGACCCTTGTTTACTTTGGTCCATGTCCACTGGCAGGGTTGGAAATAGAAGGTTGTACATATTTAATTCTCACATAACAGAAATACTCTCAGAAGAATTTATGTCAGAGAATTGAAACCTGCAACACCAGGAAGGCAACTGATGAGATAAAACAGTAAAAAAAAATTACTTTCACCCACAAAGCTCATTTCCAGAGTTAACGTGGGTTGTTTCAGCAAGTGCAAACGCTAATCTAAGTTTTAGGTATCAACAAAGGGCAAAGCAATAAATCATCACTCACAAAATTAGTCTTTGGACTCCACCTCACAAGTGCACCTTTTAGATTGTTTCCTGCACTTGTTAGCACCATTAATGGATTTCATCTCTCTTGAGAACTTGAATTCTGTACCCTTTGGGATTTTCTGATTTTGTCACAGTAATTTAAATATGAATATAAATATTAATGTTTAAAGTTATATTAATACATTGTGACATTAATGTTTATTTATTAATTTATTAGTTGAATATAATTTTTTATTAAAAATGCAATATTTAGTTGTAAAGATTGATCCTATTAAAAATAGCAAAATCCTATTTTCAAAAAGATATTTTAGGGTAAACACAATATATTAAGTAGAAAGAACAGACCATAAGAAATGTTCTTTGATGTTTCTGATATTTTATACTTCACTGGCCACATTGGTAATTATGTATTTAATCTTAGAAGTGATGCTTTGGATCTTTTTCATGGCTTTGCACTGCATGTATCTTGAATCTTCTCTCTAGAGAACAAGATATCGTTAGCATTCATCTTATGCTTACATCTGATTCATTAAGTGTAATCTTGAGATAATGTAAATTCAGGCCTTTTTAGGCAACCTGTCTCCTGACATTAAATGTATTGCAAAGATTATTATCTTAGACTATATTACCAGAAGATCAAAACCCGAACAATGTTTAATATCAGGATTACAGTGGGGTGGAAGGTCTATGTAATTCAGTCTCACACTGGGTGATGAATTTCCCATCCGGCAACATCTGATATATTATCACTCACCAGTTCTGTTGTATCAACATGGGGCTGGCCAGCTTCAGAGCTGCTTTTTGACTAAATCAGCATTTTATTGCAATTCACAGTGTTTTCTTTGAGGTGTCAAGCTGTATTCAGTTTCACATATGTTGGCCACAATCAAATTAGAATCTACAAAAGCTGGCAAGGTTAGAGCACTTCATTTAGGCACCAACATCTAAGCAAACTTTTTGTGGCTAGCAAGAAGGTTAAATTACATAATTGGCATAGGGAAAGAGTGCCAAAGTCAAGCAGTTTATTTTTAATTAGGGTCTCATAGACTTTTAAATTAAATCCATCTTTGTTAGGCGCCCGATTAGCCCTGTTTTGATACAAGCGCATGTTTCAGCTAGACATATTTGCCCATGTAAGTCTGTTGATAAAAAGATCAGGTCCATCAATACCGCATGTTCTCTCCAACCTTGAGTGGAAGGACAACTTACAATCTTTTATTACCTCTAAAACGGTTTATCTGGCTCTATTGATTACCTCCTCTCAAAAGAGACCCTGATTGAAAACCCATAAACAAAGCCAAGCAATTCATAACTAGCAGAAATCCCTTTTTGATCAGTTTTCCGCTCTGAATTTGACGTGCACATTAACCAAATGAGGCATCATCACTCAATAGTGTCCAGTGAGATCTCTTTGAATTAAAAAGCAAGTACTGAGGTCCAGCTGCGAATGGGAATCAAAGGGCATCACGGTGCTTGATAGCTGATCCAATTAAGAGAAGCCGACAGGGTAACCTTTGGTGTGGGCTACATTGGCATTTCCTCAGCCGGTCTTTGGCGAGGACTGTGTTTACTTGGCTCTGCAGGAGTGGGAGGAGCCCCACTGAGATATGAATCTTACATGCGGAGAAGGCTTTTCACTGTAGAATGAGGCAGACCAATCAGTCAGTGGAGCTTCTTGTTGTTACTAATCGCTGCAAATGACAGCTGAGTGACAGATTTCCAAACGAAAGACCTGAAGTACATTATCAAAGCAATGCACGCTGACCCGCGTGCAAGCCAGCTTGACCCGGACAGTTATGTGGCTTTTTAAATGTCACGATTTCCAGGCTGAGGGTGATTGAAAGAGCTATAGGATTTATACCAACACAACAGAGTTAATCACATCACTTCTAAAGCATGGCGATAATTGTCTTGATTTTTACAATGTTCCAGTGAAAGTTCAGGAAGAGCATGTTCTTATAATCCTGTCAATCGAAACCTTGAGAGAATAAACTATAACGGCCAATTACGTCACTGCTCTGGACCTGCACCTTTTCTTTCTGTACACTGTGTATTAGGATGCCAAACCAGCTCTTTTAGATCATAATAAAAGGAATTTGTGAAATATTTTAATCATTTAATAAATGTAATATTTTATGCAATATAAAAATACAAGCACAGCTGTTGCAAAAGGTATTTGGACATTTATGCATTACTTAAAAGTGTATATTACTGGATTAGATCATTGAAAAAAATAAAAATGCAAGCATACTTAAGCAAGCACAAATCAAAAATGTGGGGTCAGTAAGATATTAGTAAGAAAGCAACGATATACAGTACAAGTGCTGTGACAAGTCTCAGTTAGTCTAGCACAGTGCACATAGCAAGGTGTTTTTAATAAATTAGACCAAAATGAATAGAATAGAATAGAATAGAGCAAGGATGCATTATATTGAGGATTGCTTTTATTGAGCAAGGATGCATTATATTAATCAAAAGTGACTGTAAAGACATTCATTGTTACAAAAGATTTCTATTCCAAATAAATATATGTCTTTTAGAACTTTCTATTCATCAAAGAATCCTTAAAATCATGGTTAACACAAAAATATAAAGCAGCACAACTGTTTTCAACATTGATGAGTCTCTTGTGCACCAAATTAGCATATTAGAATGATTTCTGAAGGATCATTAAGACCATTGGAGTAATTGCTGCTGAATATTCAGCTTTGCCATCACAGGAATAAATGACCTTTTAAAATATATTAAAATAAAAACAGATACTTTAAATTGTAATAATATTTCACAATATTACCATTTTTGCTGTATTTTTGATCAAATGAATGCAGTCTTGTGAACATAAGAGAATCTTACAAGATCAAAAAAATACAACAACAAAAATCTTACTGACCCCAAAGGAGAACTGGGACCATTTTATTCGTTAAAAATAATCACTTTTTTTTTTTTTTTTACAGATACTACTTGGTTTGATAGTTTGCAACTAATGTAAAGAAAGTGTCCAAATACATTTTGGTGCCACCTTACCCAAGAACAACATATATAACACTAGGAGTGTAACAACATATAAAACGCATGATTAAGTGGTCAATATTGGTGATTTTAGGGGGCAGTTGGATTGGGGTTCTGGGTGGTAGTGGTTCCTTTTCTGCTGTTGTGTTATATTCCCTAAGAGCTCTGAAACTTACCCTCAGTAGGTGTTTCACCTACAGGGTTCCCCAGCAGCTGTGGAAGGGAGCCACTCCACCGCCGCACCCCCAGCCACTGCTCAGCTGCAAGCAATAGGCCGGAGCTATAGGGTGAGTTCAGATCCCAGGCAGAAAGTCTAGGGCCGGGATGTGAGCTCTGAACGATCCCGTCTGTGCGCCTGGGATTACCAGAGAGAGGAATACCTGTGAGAGAGGGTGAGAAAATGAAGATGTGAGGGAATGGCTTATAGATAATAAAATACGCTAAATAAAATTAGACATATCATTTCATAAGGTCTCATATCTGGGCACCTTCATTGGATTTTTCTTGCTGAATCCTCAAGCATTCAGAGAAAACATTGTTTTGTAAATGAATCAGATAACACTCTCGGTTCCTCAAGGTTTTGAATTGTCTTTTCACAAATATCGCTCAGTGCTTAAACAATAGAACAGTGCACCGTTATCTCAGAACAGGCGGCAGTGCATTTTTCATGCTGAATATTCAATGATGAAATGCCAATTTAAATCCCATCAAAAACAAGGCAGTGTTTATCACTGTCTAGAGACTGCAACTTTATTAAAACAGA